CGGACAAGAGGGGGTGGGTGTGGCCTGTCGTGGTATGCGTTGTCTCAATATATTTAGTCCGTGCTTTCTTTCTAATTTAAGCAGTCGGGATTGTCTAGGGTAACGAGACGGTTTTTTTCTGTAGAGCAGGGCAAAGGGAAGTCCACGCGATGATAACATCCATTCATGTTGATTCAGATTTCAACCATGTAAATCAAAAAGCCTCCACACAAGTTCTAAGGAGATCACAGTGGTACGTACCTGTAGACTTCGAGTTCCTTGGGGACGCCGGCAGCATCCCCGTAAGACTCGATCGTCATGTGTACAGAAAAAGAAACAAACGTGTTCGCCTCGCGTTAATCGTCAACGTACGCACACGATCCCTCGACCCAGCCATAAGGCGCAACAGATGACCTTATTCGGTCGTAAGTACCTCCATCGCTTCATTCGCGCATGATGGAGCAGGTTTGGTGAACGCGTGGGAGAGACAGCTCTAGACTTAAAAACGCAATCACGCCGGGGTAACAGACAGGTCTGTTTCGAAGCGGCAGGAGATTCGACATAACGTACGCCCCGTTGGGAACCCCCGCACACCCCAGGTAATTATTTCAATGTGGCACTGGGCACCACAGCAGTGACATACGGTATTGCTCCTTTGATTTCCGGTGCAATTCATGCTGACGACGTGGTATCACCGGATGGCGCCAAAGAAACATTCACGTTAATGCCTCACTAAACCGTACGGTTCATAGCGAACGTACATCTGTATGATGGTGTGGTTCATCATTATTTAGTATTGCGCGAACTCCCCAATTCACCAGTACCTGAACGAGAGAACACTGCGAACGGAGGCACATCGAGTTTAACTTTCGACATGGTCCGCCGGGATGCTTCCCCCATAAACTTTGCGGTGTAACCAGGGGGGTCCGCTTCAACCAACACACCAACCAGTACGACGACGGTAGACGCGAAGCCTCGCACAATTCAACGGTCGGAGTGAGTAGAGTAAATGTACCAATTAAGAGACACCCCCCATCAAGAGACACATTTTTTCAAGTGCACATATCTCGGCACACGATCCGCGGGGACCCCTGTTATGTTTTTCGTTTTTCTTTCAAATTTTCAAGCGTCAGCTTTCGTTTGAGCACTCCAGCGTCCCGATCGGGTCACGCACCCACGAGATACAGCAACACGCCCTCCCACACCCGTGATGCGGGTTATTTTCATTCCTGTGGCGGGTCCGTTGCTAAGCATTGCGAGCATGGGCCGGGCAAGAGTAGACCCACAACACGCGCAGAAGGCTTGCGATGCGGTCCGCAGTGGTCAGTTGTCTCTCAGGGCTGCTGCCAAGGCCTACGGGGTGAACAAGGACGCGCTCTCGCGACGTTTGAGCGGTGCTATGGCCATGGATGCGAGGGTTGGCCCCGAGACTGTGCTGAGCAAGGCGGAAGAAGATGCGGCGGAAGATACNTGCCAAGGCCTACGGGGTGAACAAGGACGCGCTCTCGCGACGTTTGAGCTGTGGTATGGCCATGGATGCGAGGGTTGGCCCCGAGACTGTGCTGAGCAAGGCGGAAGAAGATGCGGCGGAAGATACGTTGATCTACGCTTCTCGACACTTTCTGAGTTTCGGTCGGCAGCAGCTCATAGATGCGGTGCGAGTGCTCTGCCTCGACGGACGCCCGGTGCCCTGGGACTCAGATAAGGGCCCGGGGCGCAGCTGGCTTGACGGCTTCATGGCGAGGCACCCGGCGTTGTCGGAGCGAACAGCTCACATCTACGAGGCAAACCGGATCAACGACAACTGGCTGGATCAATCCCAAAAAAGAAAAATTCTACATGGACATGAGTTCAAGCAGAGCGTTTACGAAAAAAATCAGGTCTTAAAACGCTGTAGATCTCGCGCAATCACCACATGTTTATAGTGTCTCTTAACGGGGGCGGGGGTGTTTTCCACCGTATTATCCCGGAAAAATTAGGGGTGTTACAGGAGCCATATCTTCCCAGCACTTACGATTTTTTTTTTTGGGAGATTACCTTAGCCTGTGATGTTAGCTATCGTACGATACCTCGACATCAATGATATTCGTCCTTATAGTCAAGAACGAGCTGTTTGAGCGGAGGGTGGCTTAAGTGTCTCTTAATCGGTACATTTACTCTACCGTATATGACACAACATAACACACCCCCTTGACCAATTTTCGAAGCTCGAGTTCTCAACTGCAGGAACAGCCACAGCGCCGAAAACGGCGGCGTTGAAACCGTCTCTACAAGAGCTTTTCGAAAATGTATCGTTTCGTTTATGCATCCACTTCGTCGTGGAGAAATCGAGCTTTGAAAATCGGTCCAGGGGGTGTGTTATCTTGTGTCATATACGGTAATTGGCTTCTGCAACACGAACACCACACGTCATCAAAACTGGTGTACAGCAACCGATTCTGTGTCTTGTAAACAACGCGTAAACAAACGTGTGTGCCAATTTCAGCAGTTTCGGCTGTCTTACTGGCGGGGTGGTTGCCCGCCTGCCTCCCTGCGTGCGTACGTGCGTACCAGTTAGACTAAGAGTTTCAATAATAATTTCGTTGCCCTCAAAAAAGAGGGCGACCCAGCCAAAATGAAGCACAATGCGCAAACAGTATGGGGGATTGTTTCTACACAATATATATAAATATATATATTGAACGGTGTGCGCGTGTGAAACCTGGGCACGTATTCGGCCAGGGTCCAAACAAGCGTCAATGCTACCGGACAACGTCGTCTCACATGCTCTCCAGCATAAACTGCTTGACACGGCGAGAGACACGCTTGAGGCCAACACGCCTTCACACCAGCCACGGCATAGAAATTGCTCAGATAGGATAAAACACCATGTAGCAGGAAGAAACATGCATTATTCGCCTATGATGACATAGGGCACAAAAATCAACCATACCCGAGAACGTGGCCGGAAAACAACTGAACCAAATCAATGGCCTTGTGCTATGTTTCATCCGTTCGTGAAGCGAAGGGGTTCTCTACGTCCTTCCTTGCTGCCGAAGATCGGACTCGTTTTGGTCTTTCGGGAAGCAGGCCACCGTATGCACAAAAGCCTGGCTGCCCCTTCGTCGCCGCAATGTCTGAATATGTATGACTGCGGCAGCTATTACCACCCGGGGCTACATTGCTGCGATACACTACTCCTGCTCATTCTTACCGAGATGCGCCAAAAAATCCACAAAAAAACATAAGCACGAAGTCGATCGTCGAACTGTACACCGCAACACCCGTCCACCGCCCCTAATAAAATGCATGATGCACGAAAGAAAACAGATACAGCAGGCTCGACCTTCTCTCTGCTCCTTCCCACCTCCTAAAACTCGAAAACAAATCGAAATCCGTCAGGGTTAGGCCGGTCTCGGATCGGGCGCGTCTCAGCAAGGCTTGGTGCTCGTGAACCTCAAGAGACAGCCTGCGGCCTCTTGGGCCGGCCCACGTGCGCGCAGATCGGTTGTGTGATTCGTAACCACTTTGTAACCCATAGCCCCCGTAGCAGTCTCCAATCAACTGCAATCAACACCAAACTGGGGATCTACAGCCCGAACAGGGCCGCTGGCAGAGAGGGGCCAGTGTTGCTGCACCTTGTCCTACCCCAACTCCGATCTGGGCCGAATTCGAGAACGACATAAACCCGAGCCCTGGGCAAGTGCCAAGCACAACACACGAAACAACCGACCACACAAGTCCCCAACTCACCATTACATGTGCGAGGCTGGCACTTCCGCTTTTTCGTGTGTTGCCAACGGGGTGGGCCGCGCTCGCACCCCTTCCTCGAAAACAAGCAATCCAGGTCCTTTCGGCGGGGTTCACCTCACCAAATCACGAGGAACAGCCTCCTTGCAAGTGTACCAACCAAACCTACCAGGCCACCTTACCGAACAAAAGCAACACAGCAGTATCATACACTGGAGTGCGCCATCAAATAATGACAACGAACTAACTCAACGCGCCCCCGCAGCACGCCCAGGAAACACGGCGCGGCGAAAGGCAAACTGTGCATTGGGATTGCACGCATGTACGTCTCGTTATCATCGCCATCACCCTAGACGCCGCGCGATGCCACTGCACCAGCGACTCTTCTGCCTCCGCGGCTGTGGTGGTCTACTTGAGGACGCTTGTCCCCCCCAAATGTTTACATCGCTCCGATGAAAGTCTCTTCTTCCATCTGCTGCTCGGCCTTCGCCGCGAGGTAAGAATTCACGGCGTCCGCGGCCCCGCGACCCTCGTTGATGGCCCACACGACCAACGACTGGCCTCGGCGGCAGTCGCCCGCTGAAAATACGCCTTCCGCGTTGGTGCGGTAGTCCCCATACGGTGCGTGGATGTTCTCGCGCTGGTTGATTGGTCGACAGAGGGCGGGGTTATGTGGGTGGGTGGGGGCGCCGGAAGGTGCAGGCGGGAATGGAGGTCGAGAGAAAGGTTGGTCAGAGAACGCAGAACGCGATGCCGGGGAGGGTGATGGGTGGGGGCATGTGGGTGTCAAGAACTATATTTTAAAGTAAGAAAACAAGTCAAGTTCTCGCAAGATCGGCCGTGTATGCTTTCTGCATTGTCCCGTTTTGTACGTGGTCTAGTGGGTACCCTCGCAGCCTGGTGAGGGCCAGGTCATGTTCGAGTCCCGGCCGAGTGAGTTTTTCTCACTA